CACCCACCCACCCTACCTTTCTAGGGCTCGTTGTCTTCCTCCACAAAGGGCTTTGCAGCTAGTACTAAACATATAGCACACACTCCTCCTTGAATTTGGAATAGAGTAAGGAAGACCCTCGTAACTTTGGACAGAAGGAACTTCTATGATAATTTCTAGTATTCCATAGTCCCCTGAAGCAGTAGGATGTCCCTTGAACCAATACAGTCATGCAGTCCAGGGAGAGAAGAACTATGTGCAGCTAGTACCACCTGCTGAAGGACCCCATACTCAGACGTTGCATCAGCTAAGGTGGCTAAGTACAGTTTGTAATATCCAACAAAAATAGGCACCAAGGCCCAGGCCAGGCTGTTCCCTTTCAGATGTCCACCACAGCTGCATTTTGCTGCTGACATAGGCATACTTCCTATGGAGTGAGGTGTGATTTCTTATGGAGGTTTCAGAGCTTGGGAAACTTATGCCTCACGTATGCATTCTCTCCATCATTTATTGAATGATGTCACTGACACATTTTTCTCTTTAGTCACTTGATGAAATGCTACAAAGAGAATGTCAGACCCCACACATGAAACTGCCACTGTCGGACCCCACATATGAAACATGAAACAGACCCTTGGTCCATCAAAGTCCGTATTGTCTACTCAGACTGGCACCAGCTCTCCAGGGTCTTAAGCAGAGGTTCTTCATATCACCTACTGCCAGATCTTTTAACTGGAGATACTGGGGATTGAACCTGAGACCTTTTGAATGCCAAGTAGATGTTCTACCACTGAGCCACAGCCTCCTGTAAGGAGATTTACAACGTAGGCAAACCAGTTCCCTGAAACACATTTGGATTTGGCCAACAGAAAGTATTCCCAGGTCTCTCTGGACCCCCATTATTATGGCTCTCTAGTGTGCAGGCAGGGCCCTCCAAACAAGTTTGGAATCTGATACATGCTGCATTATGTCACATCCTGAGATTCTCAGATTGTTATCTTCCTTGGGCCCTGAGTCTAGCCCTCAAAGTTGCAGATGATTTGAAAAAAAGAATTAAAGTCTGGCTCAGAATTCCCTTTCTAATTCCAAACTACCCTGTGGGCTTTGTGGACATTATTTATTTCCTCCCAAGCATCACAATGGCTGGATGCATACTGGAAATCATTTCTTACCAATAATCGTAGCCTTCATCCCAGTTGTCAAAGTGAATTAGCAGCCGATTATCCACCATGTCGGTAATGGTTGCTACGCACATTAAGGAAGGATTCTTTTTGTCTACTGCTTCTAACTTCATTCCCACTCGAAAACCGGAAGGCGTGATTGGCTGGAGAACAGAAAAAAGGAGGAAATGTTTGTCATTTGCAATTATACTTTCAAATATAGTCTTCCATTATGCTTTCAAATATTGTCTTCTAGGTTATGAAAACAAAAAAAACCTCACGTTGCAGTTCCATGAGGATAAACCCCAAAATTCTATATATACACTGGCAAAACAGATCAACTGTAAAATGTAGACAAAACCCCCACAAATATTGCCACTTTTCACTTCAGAAGCTAAATATTATGAAAACTTCATTATGGAAAAAGTAAGTTTTTAGCATATGACTAGAAAAGTCAGCTACAATATAGCAGAGGGCTCTCATTAACTTGGGAAGACTGCAGAGACTGAAATTTTAAAACTGGGCTAATTCATTTTTGAAAATGTTTCACGCAGAGTGGCCCCTGCAGACAGCAGCATCTGACCTTGGGCGTCTATGAACAGAATGGCTGCCTCTGGCAATGATCCACATGAGTCCAGAGGTAGGGAAAAAATGGGCTACCCTATGTAAATCAGAACCAGAGAGCAGCTTTTGTATTCATGGATATTCTGAGTCAGATGCTACTTTCTCCACAGGACTGCTCTGCATGGAAGAGTTACAAGCCTGTCTTCTAATTAACTGAAATCAACAGGAATTGACAACCATTACCAGGGTACAGATTGGATAAGATGCTACACAACTGTACAAGCCAGGCTATTTGACAGAGTGGAACGAGAAGTGAACTAAAGCCATTTAAAACACAACTCTGAAGAGACAGGTAAAGAAGGCAAATATATAAGCAGTAACACATTTTGAGGTAGGTATGAGTTTTGCCACATGTTTTCAAGCCAGGGAATGAGCTGAACTGGATGTTATACAAAGCTAGCCCCGAATAGATGTTTTTAAAGACAAAACACATGCCAGAGGAACCGGTATTTGTTGCCTTGTGGATCCTGATGCTTACTGGCCTGTTTATTTGGCTGCTGTGTATGCACACTTAGGAAATGAACTCTGCATACTAATGATAGTGTGAGCAACTAAATAGGTTTCCTCTAGAATGCTTCTGCCTGGTCTGTTCTTGTCCCCATCCCATTTCATAGTTTAGTTCCTGTTCTAAGCATCTGAAAAAGGGAACAATGCTATCCAGGATGAAGCTTTTTAAAAAGGGCTTGAACAACAACAAACGTAAAAGACATCAAAATCAGTATTACCACTTACTGTGCTGAGTGCCTTGAAAAGAGTTTTGGGAGCAGCCTGGGCTTTGCTATTCTTCAAATACGAAGCCCAATTAAATTCCCCTTCCTTGTAACCTAGAGATAGATTGGTAGATAAAAGCATTGTTTGATACAGGGAGCTGCTGTACTCAGACCGGCTTTTGAGAAATAGAAATTATGTGGGAAGAATTTGAACTTTGCATGATTGAAGCCCTTGTGAAAGAGGCAGGCATCCAAGCCTTCAATTCACAGACTTCTTGCTTTCTCCTGTTTTTTAATACATTATTGCAGCTCTTAGTCATTAATTTGAAATGTCAGAAGTCTCTGGTAAATAGAATAATATCAAGAGAAAGCACTGAATACATTACTAAAAGAACGTATTATTTTAATGCTTCCTACACAGCAATCCTATGCAGTTACGCCACTGCCTTAAATGGGCTTAGACTGGAGTAATTCTACATGGGACTGTACTGCTAGTGCTTGACCCTAGAAAAAATAAACACCTTGCTTTACCTGTTCTAGGACTCCTTAAACCTGCTTGGGAAATGACAGTAATAATTGGCACATATTAAAAAATTAACACAGATTCCCTCTATCGGTTATTGCATCTTTTTTGTGATTGTACATGCACCAGAAAACCACTACTCAGCAGTGTATTTTCAGCATGGAAGAAAATTTTTAGCTGCTTGACATGTTACAGGACAGAAGCAGACACATGGTACACTTCTAACACGTCATCTCTTTCCACTTATGTGGAATGACCAGGGGTTCTGATTTTTGTTATATCTTCCCATTTTAAGCAGTTCAAGGTTCATTAAGGAGGGCCGCTCATATCCAGGGAAGCTGATAACAAAACACTAAAAACAAAAAAACCCCAACAACCCATGTACCTTTAGGAGGAAGCAGTTTGTGGCCTGTTTTTTCACACCAGCCCACAGGATGGATATCTGGAGAATCGGCATTAACCCAGAAGTCATAGCACTCAGAATAGCCATCAAAATGCAAACGCATCCTGTACCCTTGTATCTGTAAACATGAGACAACACAAGTTTATCCCTTGTGTGCTATTTGCCTTGAAAAATGACCACATTTTACATTTCTGTTCATACCAGGCCAAGTCTTTTTCATCCAAAAATAAATCCAGAACAAGGAAGATTATATTTTAAGAGAAAGAATACATCTATCCATAGATGAGACCTGGAAATCCAGAACGATGTGCCCCTGCAATCAATCTCCCAGTAGGTCAGGCACTGCATGCAGTGTCGAGAATCACAATGAAATGGATAGTTAAACCACTATGAATTTTGTTTTATGTAGACCACTGAAGGATTAGCTGCCAAAATTAGCTGAGGTACAGCAAAGACACACAAGGGAGAAAAACAAAGATTTCCTAGATTGTCTGCCCTACGTGTCAATTAACTTTCAGACTGCCAATAATCCTTGTTCATGCCTTGACATCTTTTGATTTCTTTAATCAAAATTAATAATAATAATAATAATAATATGGCAGCACAAATGAATTTTTCAAATGAAATCTTTCAGAGAGAAACCAAGTTTAATTAAAAATGAAATCAACTACTTCATTAGAACATGGTTTGAACAAAGCAAGACTTCACTGGCTTTTATCAGATAAGAATGCAAAGATTTACACGTTCAGTCGCTGAGTTCTGTGCATTGATTCTTAGATTGCAGGAGTCGCATTTTAAAAGTTTTTAAATTTAGATTTTATTCTGTGTATTATCTCAGGTTTTTCCTTCTTTTTCATACTATGTTTGTATTGTATGCTGGTCTTAGACCGTAATAATAAAACTAAACTAGAACATGGTCTTAACCTATTGGTTTAAGGACTATCCTTACATCTTTCTACTACTTGTCAATTCCCCTCCCCCTCTAGAAAACACTGTAGGTTTTATTAAAAAAAAACCAGACAAATACCTCAGCAACAGAAAGGACACAAAATAAAGATGGATGTTCAGGATCCAGACCCTCGAACTTCATTCCAACTTTAAATCCATTCTTGTTTTGTGGGAAGGACTGCGACTACAGGGGAAAGGAGGGGAATGTTACTTTACACTGTAAAACGAACACACACAACAAGAGGCCCTTCTTTTACTGTTAACAGTTTCCAGTGGAAACTGAGGGAGTTCAGCATCAGACAGGATGGGTGATATATTCATATTCTCCAGGATTAGCTTCTTGCATATTGCTTAGACTTGGCAATTGGCTGCTACTTGTAACCTCACGATATGATCAAAGTCAAAGATCCAATTAACTTTCAGCAGTATTACATTAATTAATGAGAATGAAACTGTCTTTATTTATTATTTACTTGTTTATTAAATTTGATTTGTTGACCACCCTCCCCTATAAGACAGGACTCAGGGTGGTGTACATTAAAAAAAACCCTCTTACATAAGTACAATAAAATATTAAAATCATGAAAATATATAACAATAAGTTATCAGTCAGATGGTGATGAAGCTGCCATCATATGCCGCTGTCTTGTGGGTCGGGGGGGGGGGGCGGCGGGGGCGCGGAGGCAGGAAAAGCAGGAGTGCCAGCCAGGTGGAAAACCATTGCTGTTCTCAGCCAAATGCCTGGCAGCACACCTCTGCCTTACATGCCCTGCGGAACTGCATTAATCACACAGGGCATGGATATCACTCGGCAGAGAGTTTCACCAGGTTGAGGCCACAGCTGAAAAGGCCCTGGTCCTGTTCGAGGACAGCTGGATGTCTCTCAGGCCAGGGACCACCAGCAAGTTCTTATCAGCCAAGCATAACCCTCTTTGGGGAGTGTACCAGGAGAGGTGGTCCCAAAGATACTTGGGTCTCTGACCGTTTAGAGTCTTAAAGGTTACTACTATGACCTTGAACCTGATCTGGTATTCCACTGGAAGCCAGTGCAGCTCACAGAGCACAGGATGGATATGTGCCATGCAGAGAGTCCCCATTAAAGACTTGCACTGCTGCATTCTGGAGTTTCCAGGTCAAGGTCAAGGGTAGCCCTATGTAGAGTGAGTTACAGTAGCCTATTCTGGCGATGACTGCTGCGTGGATTACAGTGACTAGGTCAGGGTGAGACAGGTAAAGAGCCAGTTGCCTGATCTGGCGTAACTGAAAAAACGCCAGCCTGGCAACATTTACAATCTGGGCCTCCATTAATAAGGAGGCATCCAGAATCACACCCAGGCTCTTGATAGTTGGTGCCAGTGTCAAGGGCACACCATCAAGAGCTGGGAGACGGCACCACAACTCTGAGTCGCCCCTCCCCAGCCACAGAACCTCCGTCTTAGTCAGATTCAGCCAGCTCTGCTTCAACCATACCACCACAGTCTCCAAACCCTCAACCAGATTTGCTGGGCGGTATGTGGCCAGCCGCCATCAATAGATATAGCTGGCTGCCATCAGCATATCCATGACAGCCCAGCCTGAAATTCCATGCCAGTTGGGCGAGGGGGTACTTATAGATATTAAATAACATCGGATAGAGGATTGCCCCCCGAGGAACCCCACATACTAGTGGGTACTTAGTTGACAACCTCTCTTCTAGCACCACCCTCTGGCCCCAGCCCTGGAGAAATGAGGTAAGTCACTTCAAAGCTACACCATGCATTCCTACGCTGGCAAAGTGGTGGAACAGAAGATCGTGATTAACCATGTCAAAAGCTGTTGTAAGATCAATCAACAAGAGCAGTGCCAACCCAACTCAGTTCAACTACACAAGAAGATCATCTGTGAGAACGACCAAAGTCATCTCAGTCTCATGGGCAGGGCGGAAGCTGGACTGGAATGGGTCCAGTGCCGATGTGTCACCCAAGAATTTCTGAAGCTGTTCTGCTGCTGCTCTGTCAATTACCTTGCCCAGAAACTAAAGATTCAAGACTGGATGGTAACTGGAAGGATCTGTAGGGTCCAAGGTTGGTTTCTGCAAGAGCAGTACAACCACAGCCTCTTTCAATCCCTCCGGGTAGACCCCTAAATCCAGGGACAGATGAATAATGTCTACCAGGGGGAGGGTGTGTATTCCCTCACTGCTGGCTTTCATCAGCCATGAGGGACACAGACCTAAGAGGCACATGGTTGGCCTAACAGCACCCAGAATCCTGTCAGCATCAGCCAGGGAGAGTAAACTGAAGTGGTCAAAACCAGAATCCAAAGATGGCCAAGGGGACTCAGTTCACATACTGTATCAATGTTGGCTGGTAGGTCTGCCTTTCTCAGCTGGACTGAAGGAGGAATACACAGTGAATCAACCCCATCAACAGCATAGGATGTTCAATAAACAAAACAATAGGATTAGGGAATCTGCTATCTTGGACTTGATTCTCACCAACTGGGAAGAACTGGTTGATGAGGTGGAAGTAGTGGGCACCCTGGGTAGTAGTGGCCATGTAATTTTGAAATTTACAGTACTGGGGAAGGGGGAAAAAAGCTGTACGTAGTCAGACACATAAGTTGGACTTCAGGAAAGCAAATTTTAACAAACTTAAAGGTTACAAGCATGGACAGCTTCAAGAGGGAATTAGATAAGCATATGGAGCAGAAGTCCATCAGTGGCTATTAGCCACATGGTATAGATAGGAACTCTCAGGCTGGGGTAACTGTATTCTTGGTGCTGGGGGGAGGCAACAGTGGGAGGGCTTCCAGTGTCCTGGTCCCACTGCTGGACCTCCTGATGGCACCTAGTATTTTTGGCCACTGTGTGACAGAGTGTTGGACTAGGTGGGCCATTGGCCTGATCCAACATTGGCTTCTCTTATGTTCTTATGTTGTTATGTTCATACAGAGGATGGCATGGAGTTGTTTTCTGTTGCCTCAGAAGGTCAGACCAGAACCAACAGGTTGAAATTAAATCAAAAGAGTTTTCAGCTAAACATTGGGAAGAACTTCCTGACAGTTACAGTGGTTCCTCAGTGGAACAGGCTTCCTCGGGAGGTGGTGGGCTCTCTTTCTTTGGAGGTTTTTAAACAGAGGCTAGATGGCCATATGAAAGTCATGCTGATTCTGTAAACACAGGCAGATCATGAGAGGGAGGGTAGGAAGGGTTGCATCAGCACTAAGTTCTTGTGGCCCTTACTTACACACCCAGGAAAATACTGATTGCACCTTTGGGGTCAGGAAGCAATTTTCTACAGGCCAGTTTGGCCAGGGATCCTGGAGGGTGGGTTGGTTTTTTTGCCATCTTCTGGGCATGCAGCAGGCAACAATGGGGGTAGTGGTAATTGTGAATTTCCTGCATTGTGCAGGGGGTTGGACTAGATGACCCTGGAGGTCCCTTCCAACTCTTATGATTCTATGATTCTAAGGTTACAGAACCAACTAAAAATCTAAGAACAACTGAAGCAAAAACCTAAGTATTAACATTAATGATGCAAAAATTACATAGTAAGACTTTACTTACAGCAAGCTATGCATAGTAGTACAGACCACAGTCCTTTATAATCTATCCAAGCAATTTTGTGAATCACTGTGTACAGTGCAACCCTACTGCCTGTGTAGAAAAGGGCCTACTCCATTTGTACTGTAAAAATTATAATGGAAAAATCACTGAGCAGGTCACCCACTCAAAAAACAACAACCCTGATGCTGGTACCTAGGAAATTAAATATTTCTGCATTCACTGAACCAGGCTGCTGCCCACAAAAGCTCTTGCCATAGGAAATCAATTTGTCTCCAAAATGCAAGGCTTTTTACTGTCTTAATCCTAAAATGAAACCTACTGGCAGCTTACAGCCTCCCTATCAGGTTGCAGCTTCTGCACCTTTAACTGTTCCACCGCAAGGGAAAACCAAGTAGCTCATCCTGTGGCACTGCAACTGGCCACCTGTGCTTGCTTCACCCTTGTCCTATTGTATCATGAATTTGGTTCCACACTTCAGCAGATGTTAGAGGCAGATATATCTGATCTCTGTGCCCAACAATATTCTCAAGTTCCACATATTTGACCTGATAAAATGTGTTTCCCCCCCTGTTCCAGTCATAAGACACAGAATTTTAGAGAACATTTTTTAAAACTTATGCAAGGAAAAACAGGTTGCTTACCTGTAACTGATTATCTTCGAGTGGTCATCTGTGCAGTACCACACATGGGTTGGGCGCCTGCACATGACCTCGACTGGAGAAACTTCTAGAGCTTTGCTTCAGAAAGCTTTTGGCAGGCTCTCTTCCTGCCCTGGGGAGCAGGCATGTACTGTGCATGCCTGGAGTGGGGGAGAGAGCCGCCTCCCACGCACTTCCTTCGACCGCTACCGGTAAGTCCCATCAAGCCAAAGGAAGGTGAACAGGAGATGCCAGCAGTGGGGAAGGCTGGGTGGGATTGTGGTACTGCACAGACGACCACTCGAAGATCATCAGTTACAGGTAAGCAACCTGTTTATCTTTGTCGTGGTCTCTGTGCAGTCCCACACATGGGTGATTACAAGAGCTGAACCAGTTGGAAGAGGGAGCTGGTAGCTGCAGAAACACAAAGAATACTGGTTAAAACACAGCGTCATCAGTGAGAAAAAACATCCACAGGTCCTACCTGGGGACACAGCAGGGTCAAGCGAAGAGAGATCGCAGCACCGACAGGCCGAATGCAGCATCCCGTCAAGCTCGGACGTCAAGTGTGTAGTGGGTCATGAAGGTCGATGCCGAGGACCACGTAGCAGCCGCACAGACGTCCTCTAACAGAACACCAGCCAGGAAAGTGGTGGATGTCGATACCACCCGTGTGGAATGGGCAGTGACACAGGTAGGAATGGGTTGACGTGCAAGGTCATAGCAAAGGACTATGGTGGAAGTCACCCATTTAGACAAGCGAGAGGAAATTGGCTCCCCCACATGAGGGGGGCCATAGGCAAGGAACAGCTGAGGAGATTTACGTATATGTAAATAAAAAGAGAGCACTCTGCGCACATCGAGGCAGATCCCGAAGATCCATAATGGCCACGAAGCCGCCATCCCTCTTCGGTACGAGGAAATACTTGAAGCC